TGACATTCTGCGTGACTCTCGTTTCTTGTGTGGCAGAAGTTTCTGGATCAACATCTGTGAGAATGTACCATGATATTTCAAATGCCTTTAAAGTAAAAAAAAATTTCAATTTTCCAGATCGCAGTGTTTTATTCTGCTACAGGAAACATAAGGATCACAGCCCGCAGTGATGCTTACCACTATTTTAAATGTAGTATTTCAGTAAGTATAAACCAGTATACAGAACATCATCATTATCATCCTTTGTGTACCATTAGATGTCACACAGGGCTCACATCTGGTTCCTCCACTCTGCTCTGTTGCATGCAGCTTTATCACATAAAGTTCAGCCCAGCACTGTTTGCCTCTTGTAATAATGTTCTTCTTAATGTTTCCCTTAGGTGTCCCCTTTTTCTCAGACCATTCGTTTCTCATTTCAGTGCCTGTTTTGTAATTCTTTGCTCATTTCATCTCAGAGTGTGCCCAATATATCAACACCTTCTTTGATTTATTGCAGTCATAACAGGTATCTGACCAGGCATTTCTCTGATCTCCTCACTCTTTTTGGATTCATTCCATTTTTCCCCCTCACACATTTATTTTCAAATGCATTTAACTTTCATTCCATATCTTTAATGGTTCTCTAACGTTTGCTGGCATTAGTAAGATTTGAAATAATCTTAGAATTGAAGATTCAAAGTTTGATCTTGAAGCTGTGTAACTTAGAGCTCCATATTTTTTAAAGACTGCTGTTGCTTCTCCAATACAATCATAATTTCCTTCGTTGTAATATCTTGAGAGTCAAAACTGCTGCCCAAATAGGTGAAATGGATTATGGATCAGGGCTACTCACTGTCTCGAAGAGTCAGCTAGAGAAACTAGAGTGCATACAGAATGAAGCTATGTGGCTGACCCTGGGTTGTACAAGAAATACCCGGATTGTGTGCATGTGATACATCCTTGCATTGCTGACTGTTGCAGATAGGATAAAGGTAGGGTTATGATCACATTGCGCCGGGTGTGCAGAGAGTGGTCAGCGGGTGCTACGGAGGTTGAAGTCCAACAGTTGATTTACGACAATTCATGCCCTGGTGATCTTATTATATTTAAAGATGGTTCGGTGCTGAGAGGAAAGAGAAGTGTCTGGGGGTTCGCAGCGAAAGCCAATGGAAAATCTTTAGAGCAAGACAGCGTAGCATATGACACCACAACATCTAGCATGAGAATGGAGGTGGAGGCGGTAACAGCAGCTCTCTGGTGGCTAGAGAAAAAGATGAATACATATGTCGTAATTATAACAGACTTTGAAAGCATGCTGAAAAAGGTGAAGACAGGAATGCTTCGAGCAGAGTGGCAAGCTTCACTGGAAAGGTCATGGGTAGTGAGCATACTTTGGATCTTTTCTCCAGGCTATGCCGGTGTGGTGGGTGATGAACAGGCGGACAGATTGGCTGGATCTGCACCACTAGGTGGTGAACTGATACATGACAAGGCAGATGTGGTCAAGGCCCTTTGGGAACAAGCAACACAATCAGTAGAGAAAGAAGATTACTATGGCCTGGAGAGAATGAGGCACTTGGGTATAACCAGAGGGTCTGGCCAGCTGACTACACTCAAAAAAAAGGCAAGACGGACATATAACCAGAATGTGACCGGTACCATTAGTATTGGAACTCTGCGCTGGATGCTGAAGATGGGGAAGCAGCCTGCATGGGAATTCCCCGAGTGCTGTGTTGTCAATTCTTGACTCAACTCAACTCAAGAGGTGAAATGGTCCATTACTTTTCTTGGCTTGTTCTCAAGCATGACATTTACATCATCTGTTGGTGGTATCTTTAATATATTTCTTTGCTCATAACTCATCTGTAGTCTTGTTTTTTAATACTGTAGATGACAAATCGTCTCTTTTTATTAGCATATCTTTGCTATTTTTACTCAACAGAACAATATCATCTGTGAATTCCAGATCTTCCAGTTGTCTATTCTCTTCCCAATCAATGCCAGTATTATTTAATTAATGACTCCAAACAATAAGGGAGATAGAATGCAGCCTTGTTTCACTCCAGTTTCCACCAAAAACCAGTCACTTAGACCATTTCCAGTATATAAATCTCATATAAAATTTATTGTATAAATCATATAAATTTATAATTATGCGTATTATTTTAGCTGGTATGCTGTAGCTTTCTAAAATTCCCAATAGTTAAATTCTTTATAAATTGTCAAATATCTACTTGAAATCAATAAAATTCAGGATCAGAGGTTGTTGCTTTTCAATGTGTTCTAGAATAAATTAAAAACAATTTCTAGAATAAGTCTCAGGGCAATTATTTGATCCAGAATTAAAACACAATTTCTAGAATAAGTCTCAGGGCAATTATTTGATCCAGAATTAAAACACAATTTCTAGAATAAGTCTCAGGACAATTATTTGATCCAGAATTAAAACACAATTTCTAGAATAAGTCTCAGGGCAATTATTTGATCCAGAATTAAATCACATTTCTAGAAAAAGTCTCAGGCAATTATTTGATCCAGAATTAAAACACAATTTCTAGAATAAGTCTCAGGGCAATTATTTGATCCAGAATTAAAACACAATTTCTAGAATAAGTCTCAGGGCAAATTTTTGATCCAGAATTAAAACACAATTTCTAGAATAAGTCTCAGGACAATTATTTGATCCAGAATTAAAACACAATTTCTAGAATAAGTCTCAGGACAATTATTTGATCCAGAATTAAAACACAATTTCTAAAATAAGTCTCAGGGCAATTATTTGATGATCCAGAACTAAAACACAATTTCTAGAATAAATCTCAGGACAATTATTTGATCCAGAATTAAAACACAATTTCTAGAATAAATCTCAGGACAATTATTTGATCCAGAATTAAAACACAATTTCTAAAATAAGTCTCAGGGCAATTTTTTGATCCAGAATTAAAACACAATTTCTAGAATAAGTCTCAGGACAATTATTTGATCCAGAATTAAAACACAATTTCTAGAATAAGTCTCAGGACAATTATTTGATCCAGAATTAAAACACAATTTCTAAAATAAGTCTCAGGGCAATTATTTGATGATCCAGAACTAAAACACAATTTCTAGAATAAATCTCAGGACAATTATTTGATCCAGAATTAAAACACAATTTCTAGAATAAATCTCAGGACAATTATTTGATCCAGAATTAAAACACAATTTCTAAAATAAGTCTCAGGGCAATTATTTGATCCAGAATTAAAACACAATTTCTAGAATAAGTCTCAGGCAATTATTTGATCCAGAATTAAAACACAATTTCTAGAATAAGTCTCAGGGCAATTATTTGATCCAGAATTAAAACACAATTTCTAGAATATGTCTCAGGGCAATTATTTGATCAAGAATTAAAACACAATTTCTAGAATAAGTCTCAGGGCAATTATTTGATCCAGAATTAAATCACAATTTCTAGAATAAGTCTCAGGACAATTATTTGATCCAGAATTAAAACACAATTTCTAGAATAAGTCTCAGGGCAGATCCAGACAACTTCTTCCAGTTCAAAAACCAGCTTGTTCTTCTCTCAGGATTGTATCAACTGACTCTTTCATTCTATTGAGGATTACTTTTTTTTTTTTTTACATAACAGATAAAAAGATAATTCCTCTCCAATTATTGCTGTTTGAACAAAAAATAACAAATCTTCATATTGATATTTCATATCATGTTAATATAACAGCTGTCTGATCTCCTTCTTGTGTGTCTCTACCCTAAACATTCAACTTCTTGTTTGTAGCACTGTATATTCATGCAATCTTTTGTTGAAGCTGCAACGTTCACTTGTTGTTTGTCAACATCATCAGGTGCCTTGCCGACTGGCGTAGGCGATCATGCCTTTCCACAATCTGCGATCTCCAGCAGCATGTATCAGTTTGTGTGCCTACACCCATCCATGCCATGCAACAAGACTGTCAAGCATCTTCTCTCGCTGTCTTCCTCTATCTCTCCTTCCACATATCTTTCCAGTGGTCACAACATGTTCTATTTTTCCTCTTCTCATAACATAGCCGAAAAATGATGACTGTCTCCTTCTGATGTCTGTGATAAGTTGTCTTCGGGCTCCCGCCTCTTTCAAAACCTCTTGGTTGCTCTTTTTGGCTGTTCAAGGTATTCTAAGCATTCTTCTGTAAAACCACATTTCTGAGGCCTCCAGAAATTGTTTGGCCTGCCTACTGATTGTCCAGGATTCACAGCCATATGTTAAAACTGGATGTATGTAGCAAGCAAGAATTCTTTTTCTAACTCTCAATGATAAGGATATATTGCACAAGATGTTTTTCATTTTATAAAATGTGGTTTTTGCCTGTCCTATTCTATTTCTTATCTCAGTTATGCATCTTCCCTTTGATGTTATCCATGTGCCCAGATACTTAAATTTCTGTACTTGTCCTAAAATAACACCATCAACTTTTATTACACACTTAGGAATAATTGGTTTCTTTGTTGTTTGTAGCACTGCATATTCATGCAATCTTTGGTTGAAGCTGCAACGTTCACTGGTTGTTTGTAGCATTGTATATTTATCCAATCTGCTGTTGAAGCCCCAACGTTCACTTTTTGTGTGTGGTAATGTGAAGCTGACTGGTTCCACTTTTTATTTGGTTTGATACATTTTCATAATAAACAGATACGATGAAGCAGCTTGAATTGGTTGAGGGCCTATGCTCAACTAGGGGATTCCAGCTAGAAGAAGAAGAGGACAATATCATCCTCAAGTCAATCCATTATCGAGCGCGTGCGTGCGTGCGTGTGCATGCGTGTGTGTGTGTGTGTTTTGTTTTGTTTTTTGTGTGTGTTTTTTACCATAGTATTTTATCTGCCAAACTTCATCTCTTTTCTCCCGTTATCAAGGGATCTCTATGGTAAAGTGGTTCTTAGTTGAAACTAGCTAGTAATGAAACTAACAGAGGCTTCACTCTAGGACCACTAATAAATACTTACCTTTTCTAAGTACCACCCTGACAGTGCACCTTTACCATCATGCCCAATGCGGACTTTCTGCAGCTGACCAACATCTGCAGCCTCAATCTAACAGATAAGCAGATCAACGCAGATCATTACTATATGACTGCAGACATGGACAAACAATAATCTGATATTGCACAATGGTACCGTTCACTGCTGATGACATTGTTCTGATTACTGATTTAAGAATAGACAGTGTAGCACATTAGGCATATCTATAGATGCTCTGTCTCCCGCAGCAAATGTCTTATGGTGTAGATGCTAAATGTTTCTGTAGCATACTGATAATACGCACATCATTCTCTTCCTCTCATCCATCCCTCCTTGCCAGATCCACACTTAATTCCTCATTCACACATTCTTGCACATATTATTTTATCTAATCTCGTGTCATAATTTTTTGGTTTTGTTATGAGAACAGGAAAAGTGGAACATGTTTTTGACCACTAGAAAGATGTATGGAAAGAGCTACAGAGGAAGGCAGAGCAAGAAAATTGTTGACAGCCTTTTGTCATGGCATGGAGGAGTGTCAACAAACATACTGATACACTGTGACGAAACGACCTCAAGTGTTTTCAGAAGTTAGTACATGTAATAATTTCTTCTGGTTACAGAGAAACAGAGAATTATATCTACAATGCTCTAAGCCCGAATAGTACTAAAACCTCATGGGATTTAAAAATGTTTCCCGTCCTTAGCTAAGACAAAGCAACCAAGCTTTGGTTAATATTACATAACATTACCTAATATAACCAGCTGGTCTACCTGGGAAAGTTCAGACACAGTGGCTATAGGGTTTGATTGTAGAACTGAAGTGTCATATAATTATCTCCTGACCAGAGACCCTTGGGAGCATGCCACTGCTGATAAAACTATTTATCCCCCCTGAGATTATCTTCCTTGAACTGCAGACCACAGATAGTCAAAAAATGGTTACATAACCGGCCAGATTGGACCCTTTCAACAAATAAGATAAGGGGAATTACCTTGGTCAAGTAGGAAACACAGTGGCTTCCCTGACCGTCTTTTCACACCTTCAGTGACACGGTCTGAGACTAGATGTTTACCACTTTAGAATGTTTGATCAGAGGGATGTCAGTAAGAATTAACTGACAGGCACATTGATAGCTAATTTGATCTGCAAGGTACTTCAGGGACATGGCTTAGATCTTCTCTTGTAGGACAGGTTAAATACTAGAAAGGGGAGGAGTTTAACTTTGCAGATAGATAGGTACTTATACTGCCAGCAACTTAAATTTACATCATAGTGCTGCCAGCAAGCCACAAACTTAGATCAACAGTAGAAAGTAATTCTAGCTGGTTGAGTCCTGTTTGGCAATTGCTGGAATGTTCCCAGGTATGATTGTATATGATTTTCAATCTTTTATTCATAGGTTAGGAGCTAGCTCAGGCTACTATTCCTTTCCTGGTGTATCTAACTTAACATTCTGCTTGAAATAATTATTTGTGAGTGTTCAGTTTTCTCAGTTAGGAAACTGCTAAAATATTCCTATTTCTTGTATGTTTGTGTCACATGTTTTTTCAGTGTATGTTTTCATGTGTATAAAATGAGACTTGTATAATAAAATGTAATGAAATTATATTGTGTCAATTATCAACCCAAAACATGTGCATGGACTGTGGGAAAATCATGCCCACATATGCAGCCATGTGGTTGCTTTTTGATAGCTCACCATATGCTCACTGTCACTGGAAAGATAATATTCCAGACAACCTGCACTTATAAAATGGTCTGGGCTTTAGCACATAACCTGCTCCACGTGTTCATGAAAAAAACACAGTGTCAGACAGTTTTGAAGTCTGAGTGAAGACGGACAGCAGACTTAGGAAGTCAACTATCATGACAGAACATGAGAGGGAAGGCAGGATATGTTAGACATCAGTGTGAGACATAAGACCTTCAGACTAGACTGGAGAGAATGTGGAAGATGGGGAGGAGAGATGTTTTATATATATATATATATATATATATATATATATATATATATATATATATATATATATATATATATATATATATATATATATATATATATATATATATATATTGTATAAGTATATGCAAGCTTAGTGTAAGTATGGAAACTACACATATGTGTTTGTTTCACAGCTCATTTCGGGGTGAAGACAAGTCTGCTCTGATAGAAGAACCAGAGGGTCACGAGCACGAACCTACATTGTTTGGAGATGGGCAAGCTGGGAACAGGCGGAGAAGGAGGTGGAACAGGCTGGGAAGAAGCTGGAAGAGGTAGAAAAGCTTGACAGTGCCTCACGGCTGTCAGAGATTTTATCTTGCATTATCATTAAGTTACGTCAACATCTTTTTCGCAAACTTATCACCATCATAACACCACTCTAATCCTAGGTGTACAGTTTTCTAGCTGAAGTATCTCACCACTATCATACCATCAGCCAGTCACTGTTTGTGTAAACGTTGCAAACTGGTGAATGTCATCTAAATGATTGTTAGTAAATAAAGCTGTATGTCAAGTTTTATACTACATCGTTTGTTAAATTCCAAGTGTATTCAGTCTTACCTGTTTAACTAAACTATTAGATAAAATTACATTTGACGGAGCTCTTTAATAATTCTTTACCAGGAGGAGGTTTTTGGGAAGGGGACACCTGCCCTGTCTAACAATTCATTATTTAAAGTAATCTAGACATCTAAAACCCCTTACCTTCTCCTGTGAATACCAAGTACAGCTCTTGTGTATTTACATGACGAGCCAAATAAGGCTGTTTTCTTGGATATCCAGGACTTTGTCTGAGATCAACATAGCTCGGATAGTAGTCCAGTTTCTCTGGTGGAGGTAAAGTGTTGAGAGGAAAATTCCTACTCATCACTAAAGGATTTATCCACTTCGGGACCCGCAACATACATTCAGTTGTGGATCATAGATTGTAGAGAGGCATCACACAAGCTAGTCGCAAGGCACTTGATGATGATGAGTTTTGTGCATGCCCCCCCCCCTCCCCCCCAATCGCTGAGGTTCCTATTCAGCTTATATTTAGTGAATTCATTTCTCGATACAGCTCAATTGCAGTGACCCATATTTTCCCCACTTCAAGATATATTATTGACTGTGTTACCACCTGTGTGTATCACATTTAGGGATCTGTAGGAGAGGACAGTCTTCAGCTTGAAGATTCAGGGTTAGCTCAGTCAGCATGGACTGTGCAGGTAAGAAAGTTTTTTTTTGCTCCTGCAGGAAAAAAAAAACCTTCTTCATCTTACCAAGGATCAAACCCATGTTTCTCGCATGACAGCCCAGCATTTTAATAATCATTCAGCCAGCTGCTCTTCCATATTACTGACAAAAATGAATAACTTTTCTTACCTTGAATTTGTCAACTTGGCCTTTTTCAAAGTTATCAGTTTTATTTCTCAAGTAAATTTCTTGAGTCTTGCCCTCTTGCCCATACATTTGGATAAAAACATTAGCATCTGTGCCAGCACCAGCCTTAGTGCCCGTCCATATTGTAATCTCGTATGGTACGGCTGTGGGAGCAGAAAATATCTTTCAGCAAAATAGTCATATAGCAATCAGAGCACATTTCTCACCTATTCTTATAAACAGTTTGCAATGATTTTTCTTTGGGTCATGTGTTTAAAGTTTAGTTTCGTTCCACAGGAAACTAACATAGAAGTCTATGAGTTCCGAACTGACTTTGAAATTGTATGTATCAATTTATATTCTATGTCAGTCTCACTATAGATTAGCTCCTTGCTTATCCTTGATAGGATGTTGCAGAATCTACCCCATCATTTGTTGGCTGTTTGTGATTTCCTCAGGCAATTTTACATTCAGCAGTTTGCTATTTGCTCTATGAACAGTAGGCCCTCAAACCAATTTCAAAACCAATGAAAGGTGGACTGCAGCCAAAATGACTGCAGCTGGGATCAAACCCAGCACCCTAGAGTTATGAAGCACGTTCACAACACCTAAGCCACAGATGTTAGGGACTGTATAACACAGTTCTAAATTCTGGAATTTATGAGCTTTTAATGTACTGTTTGAGATTCACAGTCAGTGATGCAAGTAATTTGGTAGCAGACTGCTCTGCACTGACTATGACAATGCTGTTTAAATAGGCAACAGCAAACTACTGACGTAGAGGGGAACAGTCTTTGATAATTGCACAGTAGTTAGACATCTGAATGTCTAGATGTTTGCCAGCCCAAACGTCTAGGGTTTAAATTTACATCGAATCTGATTTTTTTCTCTACTTGACCTTGGCTCCCAGGTCAACCCAGCCTTAAAAAAAATATCAGGTAATGACCTTGGAAGTAGAGTTGGCTAGCGTGATATCGACCACATAACCCAATGAGTTGCCGTTGGTCTATAACAATACAGATCAAGAACTATATGCCTGACGCGCCACATATGTGCAAAGAAAACCCTTGACTTGATGTTTACTTTCATGATTTCATGGTGTCATGTGAATGATAAATCTGCAACAACACAGGCATGCTCACTTTTTTCTATGCTCTGGGTTTTGGATGGATCAAGCTCCACTTCCAGCTGGTTCTTCTCTGACAGCCACTGATGGCAGCCAAATGTGTAATGCTCTCCCTTGGATGGGACATCAATGCAAACCTCATCAAGAAGCCAAGCAGCCCCAGGCTTGCTGTTGTCATGACCAATTTTGATCTTCTTAATCTGTGTAAAGACAACATCCAAACATAACAACTGTGCGATGACAACATCCAAGCATAACAACTGTGCGTTGACAACATCCAAACATAACAACTGTGCGATGACAACATCCAAACATAACAACTGTGCGTTGACAACATCCAAGCATAGCAATTATGTGATGAAAATATTCAAGCATAACAATTGTGATGACAACATAAAAGACGAATTTCCAAGGTGGAAAATATGAATCTAGAAAACTTGGGAGTATCAAAAACAAGATGGAATGAGGCTAACTACACAAAGAGAGATTAGCACACATTTATTAATTCTGGAGATGAGCATCATGAGATTGGAGTAGGACTTTTAGAAAGACAACATTTAGAGTTGTTGTTGTTACCGATCCAGCGAGGCATGGGCTTTTGCCTTTTGGCCCAGTGCCATGTAGTGGAATTTACATCTTTTAACTAGCTGTTCTTTTCCTCCGTACAAGATGTTCCACTTGTCTGTTCTCGGAGGGAGTAGCATTTATGACTATAACATTTATAGAAAAGCAGTCATGGATTCTGGGCTCATAAAGATAGAATATTCAATAAAATTTAAGCAAAACCTTTCAACATAGCAATAATAAAGATTTATGCACCAACAACAGACTATAACGATGAACAGCTGCAAGAATACTACGCAGATCTAATACAAACACTAAAATAGGCAAAATCATCAGAGTTCTCAACATTCGTGGGAAAATAAATGCAAAAGTCGGAAAAATTGCCTCTCTACTTCCACCCTTGAATTTTTATAGAAAATTGACCAACACACTGCATTTTTTTTCTGCTTCTTTTTCTATTCCTCTGTTCTTTGGAAGGAGTCTTAGAGAAATATAATGTTGTGTTTGTTTAAGATGAAAAATGGAAAAGTTAAAAAAAGTTTTTAAAAAATAAAATTCCTATGTGGCAAAAGGGTTCAATCAATCAATCAGGTGCCATCTCCACAGTGAAGGTGGGCTGCAGTAGATCTCCAACACAACCTGTCTCTTGTACACTCTCTCAGACTGCTGCCCATCCATCTCTTGACGTTTTTCTCCCACTTGTATCATTGCCTACCTCTTGCTCTCTTGCCTTCTACCTTTTTCCTCCGGTATGGTTTTTAAAAGTGAATTATGTCTTTTAATGTGGCCAAAGTATTTCAATTGACTTTTTTTTTTTTTTTTTAATTACTTTCAGTAATTTCCTTTTTATTTATAGTCTTCCCAGAATCTCTGGATTGTTTCTGATTCCATGAAATAAGAGCTATTCTTCCGTATACCCACATTTCCAGGGACTCAGTTCCATTCAAGAGGGTTAAAGAACAGTTAAACCAGGAGCAAACAATATGCACAGTATACAGCATAGAATGATTTAAAACTTGAGCAAGCAAGAATTGATAAGTTCTACCTTTCCAATATCTTGAGCTTCAAGTTTAAACAAATCTGTTTTTCCCCGCTCAAATTTATTGACTGCTTTCTCAGACTGTCGAAGCTGCAGTGTACCAGTATCACCCAAGGTGCCAAACATCTTCAAGAACACATTTGCATCTGTTCCAGCACCTAACTCATCGCCAGTTTTCACAGACACATGGTATGTTGTTGCTAAACAGAAAAAACACATGAGGATCAGTAAAAGTCAAGCCAAAGTCACCATTTCTTTAAATAATTTTATCATTTCATCTATTTATTTTAAGAAGAACATTTTCAAACACACACACACACAAAAAATCTATTTCTAATTCTGTTTTAGGAGTAAAGAAGAAAATAAATCTATTCCTAACTCAGTTTTAGGAGTAGAGAGTCAAATAACAGTTAAGTAGGGAAGATAATGCCATTATAATTTTTGTGGATTTTTTTTTTCTAGAATGTAAATTGAGTATTAATTTTTTTCACTCTATGGAATCTCAGGCAATATATCTGACACAAGTTCAACATTGTCCCAAATCACTTTGTGCTAATACTTTTATCACAGCTCAATCATTTTCATATACAATATGACTATGTTCTATGTCCATTCTTAAACTGTGTGTCTTTTAGGGAATTTAATAAGCTTCCAGTTTCAGAAAAGTGTCACCAGATAACTTTCAAACTAGTAAATGGAAATTTGCCTTAGAAGCAAAAGTAAGAGAACTGGTAACTAATTCTATCATAACATGGAGTAGAGACAATGAAGAACTGATATTCAATAATGTGTACTGAAAATATTTTATCATTATCAAGTTCCTTGCCATCTGACGTGGGTGATCATGCTTCTCCACAATCCGTGGTCTTGAACAGTTATGTATTAGTTTGTGTGTTGACATCCCTCCATGCCACGACAAAAGGCTGTCAACAATCATCTCATGTTATCTTCTTGTCTATATATTCAAAGTGGTCCCAACATACTCCAGTTTCCTTTTTCTTTTAACATGATTAAAAAAAAATGATTGTCTCCTTCTGATGTTTGTGATAAGTTGAGATCAAGCTCTTGATCTTTCAGAATATTTAGAGTAGTATTATTTTATCGTGCTTTTAATGCATTGCTTTCACCAGTCCCCTACTTTGACTGAGCAGTTTCCAACCTTGAAGGAAGATATTTAATCCCTCTTGACAATTTTAGTCTAATAATTATAGATTATAATTTACATAGCTTTGTCTGTGTACATAACCATTTTTTTTTTAAAGTTCACAAACAGATTGCCTGTTGTGATTTCACTAGGCAATTTTAAATTCAGGAGTTTGCTGCTGCTTTCTGAATGATCGGCTCTCAAAATGATTGTTGAAATGAAATGAACATAAAGCAGTCTGTTGCTAAATCACCCACAGCTGGGATCAAACTGGGCACCTCAGAATCACAAAGCGAGTTCACATCACTTAGGCCACAAATGCAGACTCTCCTAACAATCATATCATAATACAATAACTAATTAGGGGTTTGCTGAAGTCTGATGTGCTGGGCCCAAAGGTGGAGATATCACAGCCATTTTAGCGCCATAAAAAGAAACATCAAATGTGCAGGAAATACTAGGAATAGGTTTAACTGCTGCCTCATTCAGGAAAATATCAGTAAATAAGTAATTAATAAGGGGGGAAAAGTTTGTAAACCTAATACATCATATTTGAATATATTTCAATAAACAACCCCACTTTATAATTATAAAAACAAGTTTATGCTTTAAAAGTCGTTGAAAATGGCAGTTACACATTTCGATGTCGCTACTGTTTATTTGATTATATTCAGTATCATAAAAAAAATGGTTCAGCGGAAAAAAAAAAAAACTTACTACTCAACATCTGTGCCCCAGTAGCAGTTATTTCCCTCTCAATAAGTCCATCATCTTCATCCTCAGCCAACCAGCGGTTACAGATGAAAGTTACCTCCCCTTCTTTAACCTTTGGATCTTTGGGAATGATAACCACTTTGTCGAGGAACCAGCCAGAACCGGCACCTTTGCCATCATGGCCAATTCTGATTTTCCTCAGCTTGCCTAGGGTAACAGCCTCAATTTCAAATTCATCCACCTAACAGAAAGTACAGAGAAAATACAGACATTAGACAAACTCGTAACATTCTGTTACTCATACGTCATAAATACTTAAGTTTGCATGTTTGACATAATCATCAACAATTTCTACTTTTACCATTAAAAACTTGCCCTAGTATAGGACGTGATTTTTTGTTATTTAAAGCCTCAACCCGGCTGTAGTCAGGGGCCATAATATAAACCTAACTGTTGAACAGGGTTTCTGGGATCTGTGCTCTGGTGATTCTCATCCGAAAAATAGCACTTTGTGTCACTGGATGTTCATCGATCATTGTGCAGTCTTGGTGGGGTTGAAAGTAACTGACTGTTACTTTGCCATCATGAATTCAGTCAGTTACTTTTCCATCATGAAGTCAGTCAGTTACTTTGCCATCATGAAGTCAGTCAGTTACTTTGCCATCATGAAGTCAGTCAGTTACTTTTCCATCATGAAGTCAGTCAGTTACTTTTCCATCATGAAGTCAGTCAGTTACTTTGCCATCATGAAGTCAGTCAGTTACTTTTCCATTATGAAGTCAGTCAGTTACTTTGCCATCATGAAGTCAGTCAGTTACTTTTTCATCATGAAGTCAGTCAGTTACTTTGCATCATGAAGTCAGTCAGTTACTTTGCCATCATGAAGTCAGTCAGTTACTTTTCCATCATGAAGTCAGTCAGTTACTTTGCCATCATGAAGTCAGTCAGTTACTTTTCCATCATGAAGTCAGTCAGTTACTTTGCCATCATGAAGTCAGTCAGTTACTTTTCCATTATGAAGTCAGTCAGTTACTTTGCCATCATGAAGTCAGTCAGTTACTTTGCCATCATGAAGTCAGTCAGTTACTTTTCCATCATGAAGTCAGTCAGTTACTTTGCCATCATGAAGTCAGTCAGTTACTTTGCCATCATGAAGTCAGTCAGTTACTTTTCCATCATGAAGTCAGTCAGTTACTTTGCCATCATGAATTCAGTCAGTTACTTTTCCATCATGAAGTCAGTCAGTTACTTTGCCATCATGAATTCAGTCAGTTACTTTTCCATCATGAAGTCAGTCAGTTACTTTTCCATGATGAAGTCAGTCAGTTACTTTGCCATCATGAATTCAGTCAGTTACTTTTCCATCATAAAGTCAGTCAGTTACTTTGCCATCATGAAGTCAGTCAGTTACTTTGCCATCATGAAGTCAGTCAGTTACTTTTCCATGATGAAGTCAGTCAGTTACTTTGCCATCATGAATTCAGTCAGTTACTTTTCCATCATGAAGTCAGTCAGTTACTTTTCCATGATGAAGTCAGTCAGTTACTTTGCCATCATGAATTCAGTCAGTTACTTTGCCATCATGAATTCAGTCAGTTACTTTTCCATCATGAAGTCAGTCAGTTACTTTTCCATGATGAAGTCAGTCAGTTACTTTGCCATCATGAATTCAGTCAGTTACTTTTCCATCATGAAGTCAGTCAGTTACTTTTCCATCATGAAGTCAGTCAGTTACTTTTCCATCATGAAGTCAGTCAGTTACTTTTCCATCATGAAGTCAGTCAGTTACTTTTCCATCATGAAGTCAGTCAGTTACTTTTCCATGATGAAGTCAGTCAGTTACTTTGCCATCATGAATTCAGTCAGTTACTTTTCCATCATGAATTCAGTCAGTTACTTTTCCATCATAAAGTCAGTCAGTTACTTTGCCATCATAAAGTCAGTCAGTTACTTTGCCATCATAAAGTCAGTCAGTTACTTTGCCATCATGAAGTCAGTCAGTTACTTTGCCATCATAGGAGGCACTGTATACACAAGTGAGCTCAATGATCCACTGCTTGATGGGGAACAATGGCTACTGTCATTTCATGTTGAATCAGGTGTTTAATGTCAACAATCCATCTTCTCCTAAGACAACTGCTTGCTTTCACATCATATCTTTTTATATATAGTGCCTGTGTTCGTAGCTGATTCTAATGAGGTGACCAAACTATATGATCTTCTGTTTCTCAATGAATCTGGTGCATGGTGTTCTTCCAATATGCATATTCGTTACTGACAAAAAGATAAGGAACTCCCCTCCACCAGTGCAGTCATTCATGGTGCTATTATGGTATTCTGATTATAAACTCCAAGGAGACTGAATGCTGACTTTCTTTAAAAAAAAAAGCAGCTCACAAAATGGGACTAGTTAACAATTAAGATAAGACAGAATACATGATAATAGCAACAGAGAGGAAGTATTTAAACTCCGGCCACATAAAAGTCGATAATATGAAAATCAAACAAATGGAAACATATAAGTACTTGGGTGCAAACATCAACTGCTCCAACATGATCAGAGAAGAAATACAATCTGGAAATAAAGTATACTATGCCCTTCAACATCTGCTAAAGTCAAAGTCTCTATTTCGCAACACCAAGATCAAAATTTATAAAACATTTATAAGACCAATCATTTTATATGGCTCTATAGCTTGGAGCACAACTAAAAGAGATGAAGCCTCATTACATATTTTCTAAAACAGTATTCCAACAAATCTTTGGACACATCAAAGATGCAAACAGCAGGGAAAGAAGAGTAAGAAGCAACAATGAAATTCATAAACTGTTTAAGTCATCATTGATCACTGGCATCATGAGATCTAATAGACTAAAAAAGCTTGGACATATTGAGATAATTTCAAATGAAAGAGAGGTAAAAACTGTACACACAAGTGAGCTCAATGGTTGTAGACCACGAGGCAGACCAAGAAGATGATGTAGAAATAATGTCTAGACAGAGCTGCAAACACCTGGTGTCACCATTTGGAAAGAGAAGGCTAACCAGATGAGTGGAGGCAGGTGATATCTGCAGCAATGAACCTCAGGGCTCGGAATGCTGAAGAAGAAGAAGAAGAAGAAGGAGGCTGAATGGATTTGTCCAGCTGGTGTGACATCCACAGTGTGGCTCATTGGGTCACTGTGGTGTCAAACCTCTAGGTAACTACCTGGAGGGAGAAAAGTCAGTCAGTTACAGAAACTGTCAGGTTAATAAACATCATATGGCAACTAGTTGTCTGAAAATAAAAGAAGGCAACGTTTTAAAAGACCAAGAGAAGGTAACTAAAATCTGGCAGAATATATTCAAAGATGCTGATGATGGCAGATCAGAAACAAATACTTATAACCAATAAGACAGACTACCTAAACTGATATGCAGAGAATGCTACGCGTCACAGGGAGAAATTAAATGAGAAATTGGAAATGCAGGCTGAAAGCATCTAAGTGCAGATAGAACAGTGCATTCACATGATATAGAGAGGCAAATGCTTCTCATAATGAGAATCCTGATTATATTGTTAGAGAAAGAAGGGAAAGAACAAAGTTTCAGAATAATAACAGCAGCATTTAGAATCACACAATAAAAAGAAAACATGAATGAGATCCAGTATAACAACAAATAAAAAAAAGTAAAGATCCCTTTTCACGCCTTTAGGCGCATTGGGCATATGGGAAGAGCCCAAATATTTTTACAGACCAATCGGCACTCTGTGGGTGATGTGGTTAGCATTACGCTGGCCATCTTTACTTCCCCATGACATACATCCTGGTACCCAATTTAGGCTGGGTCGTCCTGCGACGCCCCATACCATGATAAAAATCCACGCAGCCAGCAGTGGGTTTCGATCGCGGTTCGTTGGAATTACAAGTCGGACTTGCATCACCTAAGCCATGGACGCCGCTACACCAACAAATGATTAGTATTAATTTTTTAAAGAATAATTTTTCATAAAACTTTAGAATACTATTTATAATCTAAGAAATAGCAATAACAAAATATTGATGGGTGATTTATTCCATATTAGAATTGGATAACTTGTATGAAGATATCAAGGAAATACTTGTACTTGGAATAATGAAAAAAAATACAGTTATTCACAAATTGTTGTGCAGTGAATGGTGGGAGCTACAGGAGATAGTTTAGCATCATATGTAAGGAAGTAGATGTGGTGACACCATAGAAGAGTAGGTAGATCATGGTCTAGAAAGGATGATGCAAATGGGAGTCATTATACCATCTGGTAGACACTCAATGCTCAGAGGAAAGGAAAGACACACCTCTAATCAGATAACAACAGGCTCAAGTATCGGAACTCCTGTGTTGGCTCTTGAAGATAGGGGACAGAACATTTCTAGGAATGCCCTGAGTAATGTCATGTTTTTTCTTAAATTCTAATTTTTATCATTATGCACTAGGTTAACTTTAATAATCTAGCAAAAAAGGAAGTCAAGTATAACAACTCGAAGGTTAAGAAAAATAATTTTGGGGGAACATCAAAAGACATAATACTATTCTAAACTGTACAATAATAGGGGAAATAGAAAGCAGACATGCAAAAATAAGATAACATATTCTCCAAACTGTATAACAATAGGGGAAATAGAAAGCAGACATGCAAAAATAAGATAACATATTCTCCAAACTGTATAACAATAGGGGAAATAGAAAGCAGACATGCAAAAATAAGATAACATATTCTCCAAACTGTATAACAATAGGGGAAATAGAAAGCAGACATGCAAAAATAAGATAACATATTCTCCAAACTGTATAACAATAGGGTAAATAGAAAGCAGAAATGCAAAAATAAGATAACACATTCTCCAAACTGTATAACAATAGGGGAAATAGAAAGCAAAAATAAGATAACACATTCTCCAAGCTGTATAACAATAGGGGAAATAGAAAGCAGACATGCAAAAATAAGATAATATATTCTCCAAACTGTACAACAATAGGGTAAATAGAAAGCAGACATGCAAAAAAAAAAAAAAAGATAACATATTCAGTGAGAGGATAAGAGGCACTAAAAAGGATGTAAAACTATGCAATCACAGTCAGAGACAGAC